TTTGTGCAGGGAGGGAGGCCCGGGTTCGAGCCCGGCCTCCGCCCCGTCCCTCCTCAGGCACAGTCCCTGCCCCCCGGCCTGGCTCCTGCCGAGGTGCCCGCCCACCTCACGGGTCCCGGGACGCGGACACGGGGCTCACAGAAGTGCCTCGTGCAGCGTCGAGGTCACAGATCTTAAGATGGGGTGGTGTCTCGTATTAATGAAACGTCATTATTTAAGAGAGGGCTTCGTTTTACTAGATGTGTTTCTGCCAAAAGTCTGACGTCTGCAGTTTTGCTTCCGTGTGGTGGCTGTGGCCCAGCGGGCTGGGGGCGCTGGTTCTCTGTTCACACACGGCCCCCCCAAGTCCGGGACACGGTTCTGAGATGCAGGCTGGCGACCGCAGGGCCTTGGTGCGGTCCGTCCGCGGACGGGCCCTCTGCGCACAGTGGTCTTTCTCCGGCTCCCAGTGCTCCGACCGCCTCTCTCCTTCCTTCCTTCCCTCCCTCTTTCTTTCTTTTTCCTTAATCCTCACTCGAGAATGTGTTCCCCATGGATTTCTCTATTTTAGAGAAAGGAAGGGGGAGAGAAAGAGGGAAACATCGATGTGAGAGAGAAACATTGATCAGTTGCCTTCCATTCACACCCTGACCAGGGATTGAACTCACAACCTGGTGTGCGCCCTGACCAGGGGTCTCCGGGGATGAACCCCCACCCGGCGGTGGGCGGGGTGGCACTCAGCCAACTGGGCCAGTGCCCCGTCCCCTTCCCCTCCGGCCCCAGGAAGCCAGCGTATCGTTGGACAAGGGTCTTTACGATTATTGGTCTAAATCCGGGTTTTGAGGCGGAAACTCAGAAGCCGTTACCATCCTCGGGAACCCAGGCCCTGAGTGGCTCCCCTGAGGGGTAGGTGACAGGTCCCGGCTCCGCCCGCAGGCCTTGCTGCAACTCCAAGTGACAGACAGCTGGCCCCGGACCACGGTGGCCCTCGGGCACTGGCCTTGCTTCAGCTGCCCGGTGCCCACTCCCCCTGGCGCCGCGGGTGCTGCGGGCAGGTCTGTCTCATTGGGTGGGGCAGGAGGGCTTGCCGCCTGGGCGTCCGGTGAGTTTTAAACGTAGACGTAGGAGCCCCATGGAGGCACGTTCCCTTTCATGTAACGGATGGGTTTTTCCCCCAATTCTATGGCCTTTTCAGGAGTAGCTTCCTCTGCTCAGAGGTGACCTTGTCCCTGACACAGCAGGGCTCCTGCTGGGTCACGCATCGCTGAGTTTTCCAGAATCCGCATTGCGAACCCCTGCACCGTTTCCGGGAGGGTGTGTGTGTGCGTGTGTGTGCGCGTGTGTGCATGTGTGTGCGCATGTGTGTGCGCGTGTGTGCACGCAGGTGTGTGTGTGTGCACG